TTGGGGGGGGGGGGGGGGAGGCACAGAAAGAGAAAGATCGATCACCGGATGGTTTTTTTTGCACGTTTCGGAAACAGAAAGAATACTCGTGCCTACGGAGGAGCGTAGCTGTCGAATGGGTGAATAGACAGGGAGAAGTTCGGGTTAGAACGGATGGACAGAAATCTGAGAAAAAGTTGTGGCAGAGAAGAGAGAGTTTGTAGTCAATGCGTGCTTGTAAAGGGAGTAAAAGAAGTGAATGAAGTTGTGGTGTTACGTGATCCCATTTGTGTGTGGGTGTGGGGGGGTGCCTTAAGAACTAGCCTAGCAGCTGAGTTTTGAACCTTTTGTAGTTAGTCTAAGAAGTGTTTTGGTGAACATGACAGAAGATAGTCAGAACATGACAGATAATAGTCAAGACCAGACAGAACAAGATCAAAGACTAGCGTTTTTGTTGCGCTAATGACGCCTCACCTTATCGCGGAAAAGGTGTCGAAAGGAGTGGACTGCCCCCCCCCCCCATCCTATCTTCCACCGCCACTCAGTAGAAGTGGACTATAACATCAAGACATGATTACCTTGCATGACACAATTTACAAAGCCAATCATAGAACGAAAGCTTTAACGACGAGCGACTCACAGATTTTTAACTGACAAAGAAATTAAAACACCATTCTAAAGTTGCAGCTAATCCAGCGATGAAAATATTATTGAGATTTATTATAGGCAGGTTTCCAAANTTTTTTGTTTTTTTTTTATTTTTTTTTGTTTTTTTAATTTTTTTTTTTCTTGGTTTAAATTTTTGTTATATTTTTCCTTTTTTTTTTTTTAATTATTTTTTTTTTTTAACTTTTTTTTTTTTAAAAGAAACGTACCAAGGGTCTTAAGAGACCTTTCCTTGTGTCATTCATAGCAAACACCTGGTTGACATATTTATCATTGATCGACTGCCCAAGTTATGAAACATTGTCCTAATTTCAGTAAAGAAGTATCTCACTACAACGATGGCAATGATAGCGACAATTCTTGAAGCACTTTTTGGAAGCTGTTCGACTCTGTTCTTGAATTTTGTTGATGTCCCTCCTACGCTGGTTGATAAATACACTTTTAGATTTATCAATTCGGCAGGTTCATGGAGTACAACAAGAAACAACAACAACTAATTCAGCTTAAAATGCCAATGAGCTGGAAACAACGGTAAAGTCGGAACACAAAGAGATTTAACGTCTTTAACCTGCAATGTAGAGAGTGGTTTAAAAAATAATGCTTTTTGTTACATAAATTAACTCTAGATAGGAATGGGTGGTTAATTCAGGGCATCCATTTTGCTCTTAAAGGATATTCAGTGGGATGACATTTTCTGGACAGTTCGAATGGGGAAGGGGGCGTAAAAATGTTGGACTGCCCCAGGCTACGTCACTGAAGGTGTAGTATCGTAAATAACCTAAAGCGAAATATTGTATGTATGCAGAATATTGCAGAATTGTAATTAAGCACATTGGAGCATTAAAGTATTTAGCTCTGTCTAACAAATGTAATATCAACTAATAATCATCCTTCTCTTAAAAAGATGTTATATCGCTGGACAGAGTTAATAATACCATGACTAAAGTAATGAAAATCAAATTCAATAAGTTTAATTTTTATTTGAATTAAGTGCCATCATGAACCAGAATTGTGTATTTTTAATCTGGTTCTCGTTGACGTGTAAATAACATTCATAAGATTATTAGTCAAGGGTAGAAGGCGCCAGAAGTTTATACTGACAAAAATGGGGGCGGTGAAACATATTTTGTTTAAAACCCATACTACTTTTATGATGCCATAGTAAATTCTGGTAAAACATATGAATCTGAACTGTCTTTATGCCATTTATATATTCTCCACGTCGTAGCAGTGCAAAGCAAAGACTTTGGCGCATGATAACATTCAAAAAGATTTTTTCGGGAATTACAAGGTCAATAAAAAAAATTTCCTGAAAAAAAGAATGCCATTAAATAATATCTTTTAGTTCTAGTTAAATATAGTGAGCCTATTTATTATCCGTATTCCACTTAATCAATATTTCGTGTAGATGCGCTCGACAATTTCTCATTATATCCTAAATTTCAAAAATCCAGTTCTACATTATTAGCAATTGTAGGGTGTACTTCATACCAGTGGTTCTTAACCGGGTGGCCGAGACACCTTGAGGTGTGTGAGAAGTTGTCAACTATTGTGGGGAAGCCCAGAAAATTTGTGGGTTTTTTTGTTTGTTTGTTTGTATTGGTTTTTTTTAAAGAATTTTCCGTTGGTGTTGCGTCAAATATGTTTAAGGAGTCCGATAAGAGTAGGGGGAAAATTTACATTTCAAGAGGGCAAAGTTTAAGAACCCCCGCCCTTAGTCATTCCGATAAGCCTAGCAATATCGTTAGACCAAGGAAACCAATTTTTACTACACTAACTACCAAAATTGTACGCTTTGGTCGAAACCACCCCTACATTATTTATTCGTATTAATCGCTAGACCGTGGAACTAATTCGTACTTCAATGGCAAGCATGAATCGTTATTCTGATAAAACAATTATTTATTTATTTTTTTCGTGGCTACTCATGCGGCCTGCGACCATCAATAACAGTTCACAACAGGTACTATCATTAAAAAAATTTGTTAGCTTTTCAATTATCCCGGAAATAAATAATGAATTCATGGAGGAAAAAAAATTGCTGTACGAAGTAAAATTTAATTATATTTTTTGCAGAGATTTATATCTATATAGCTTGTTACTCGTCAATAATAATAGTTTGTAAACTAGCAGTGTATTTAACTATTTCGTCAGAGTGTGCAATGCTACTTATCGTAGTCCCAAGTTTTAAGGTCTTACAGAGAGTGAAAATTTAATTTAATGTTTAAAAAAACAAAACAATTATCTCATATAAATGCACCGAATACAAAAAAACCACAATGAAGAAGTTCGTAACGTAATTATTTAATAAGTTCATGTTTGTTAAATATTGAAATCAAATCCATATTCTATCCACATGCCCGTGTCATAGAGTCATTCAAAGCTAGGAATAAAGAAGATCATCTCAATGTATCCAGCTGTGTTAAGTTCTATATCCACATGCCCGTGTCATAGAGTCATTCAAAGCTAGGAATAAAGAAGATCATCTCAATGTATCCAGCTGTGTTAAGTTCTATCTTTAATAAAAAAGGCAAGATATCGGGTAAGTTAGTTTGTTCACAGGAATATTCTCTCTGCGCTGTCCGCTAGCCGGCGAGGATTCTGAAATCTCCGGAAATTAAGCACAATCTGCATCAGAAAAAATCAATGGCCAGCTGTCTGAGACATCAGACTCCATCAAGAGCAAGCTGTCTGAGACATCAGACTCAATCAAGAGCAAGCTGTCTGAGACATCAGACTCAATCAAGAGCAAGCTGTCTGAGACATCAGACTCAATCAAGAGCCACCTGTCTTGAACATCAGATTCAATCAAGAGCCAGCTGTCTTGAACATCAGACTCAATCAAAACGCAGGTGTCTTAAACATCAGACTTAATCAAGAGACAGCTGTTTGAGACATCAGATTAAATCAAAAGCCAGATGTCTGAGACATCAGATCAAATCAATCACATCTATCTCAGTCATCCCACAAAAATGAAGCCTGATATGTAATGACTGAAAACCAATAATACTCAGTATTATTTTTTTTTTCTAAACGTACAGCGTTGAATAATACATGACAGCAACAGGCATTTTTACTTCAATTTAAAAAAAATTAAGCTCAAAAGAAGATGAAAACGCCTACTTCGTTGGACCAATCTCACTAATACATCTAGTAGTGTTGTAGCGGGTAACAAAACAATGTTTAATCAAACCAAACAGGACGCGAAGTTTGGCCTCGTCAGTGACGAACTCTGCCAACTTATTCTTACAATAAACTTTGCCTCCATCAGTCCCGTCCTGTCCGTGATTGGTCTCTGTGGAAACATCATCAACATCATTGTCTTCGTGACGCAAGGTTTCCACGACACGGTCAACATTAGCCTTTTGGCTTTGGCCGTCAGTGACATGGGGATGCTGCTGAACAGTCTCATCATTGCTATCTTCAACAATCCCTTATTACTCGGTTCAGGTATTTTGATTGAGCCGCAAGAGTTTCAGACCTCCGTGGCTGGCTGGCCCATCGCCTCCTTCAGCAAGATCACCAGCTGGATCACGACGTACATCACATTCGAAAGATGTCTGTGCGTTGTGGCCCCATTGAGAGTTAAGAGATTGGTCACTCCTAAACTCGTTGTTTTCATAATGGTTTCAATCTACGTCATGATGTTTGCAACCCTCATACCCGAGTACATGACCTTTTATTTAGACTGGAAATATTTTCCCAACAGAAACAAAACTATGATTGGTATAGTGCCAAGAAAGTACAGCGAGGCTGCAAGGGGGATAACTTTTACAATTCACACATTTAGCCAGTTCGTTTCGTTTCCTTTAATTATACTTTTCACGGCTATTCTTATTGTAAAATTACGACAAAAATCAAAATGGCGCGTTAAAACCACTTCCGGAGCAGACCAGGTGTTGAAAAACATGAATAAAAAAGGTTCCAAGACAATTAAAATGATAACGGCTATCGCAGTCATCCACGTCCTTTGTTATTTGCCGGCCATCGTTGACTTGCTTATTACTGTCACGGTTCCAGAATTTTACATCTTAGGACTTTACAAGAACTCATTTCTAATAGCATTTTCTTTTCCTAACTTTTTCGAAAGCTTGAACTCGTCACTAAGTATTTTCTTGTATTACAGAATGAGTACAAAGTACAGGTGCACAATTAAAATTCTTTATTTACAAATGAAGACCAAATATTAAAGAACCCCTAAAAACAAAGTTTAGAGTAGAAATTCTTAATTAGTGCACGAGATTTAGTCTATCATTCTTGTGACTGTAGCAACTGATACGTTTGGGTATAGGATTGCTTTTTGTTTACTTTCAGTGGCGTACTTGGTGTGTGTGTGTGTGTTGTGGGCGGGGGGGGTGGGGACAACCGACCGAAACCGGTGATAGTTTTTGTGTTTATCTATACAACATTACATAAAAGATGGGTGTGTGCGTTTTACGGACATCAGTTAAGGGTCCGACCCGCGGGCGGAATTAATTCTAGGTACGCCACGGCGTGGAGTTACTGAAAATGTCGCAAATAAGATTTGAAGCACCCTATCTAATACGATTCACGGACCGGAACTACAGAATTGTGAACCCTGAAGGACGCAATCAACTTCAACAGCCTAACACAGTGGTCGGCAAACTCAGTAGTGAAAAGAGCCAAAAATCAGCAGCAGGACTTTTGCCATTGAAATACTAAATGAAATAGCAAAATGAGGGACAACAAATGGATATTTCTTGAGTGGTCTACTGTGCTCTGTTCTTTGTGATATCTTCATTTGTCCTGTGTGCTGAAGAAGGCTCTAAGTCGAAACGTCCTAATCTTTTCGTCCTGTTCTCTAATTCAAGCTTCCACATACCTCGTTTTGCTATCTCATTTACTAGGTTTGAATGCAGTCCTTTTATTATTATATTGAAATACTAACACGTTTATGTTGATTAAAATTTTTATGTCATATTAAATACAAGGCTGTATTTGTCTTTCCTGTTTTCTTTTTGCTTTACAGTGAAGGTGTGTGCAGTGTTCATAAGGATCACGTTATGGTTTGTTTGTTTTGTATTGTCTTGAATAGCGTACCTTAACTTAAAGGCAAAGTTTATTTTACAGGCCAACGTTTTGACAGTTATACACAAATTTAAAACAAAGGCTCGCCATTGAAATCAACATGAGGACGGGGTAGAAGAGGAAGACAGAGAAACAGATGGGAAGAGAACGTCAAAGAGTGGACGGGACTCAAACAAGGCGATGCTGTGCGTAGTGCAGAAGACGAGTGGAGACGAGTGGAGACGAGTGGAGACGAGTGGAGACGAGTATTATGATTAAGGATTAACAATTAGCTCCAGAAAATTAGTAGAGGGGGAAAAAATAAGATACATTATATATATATTATGATATGGGTGACCCCCCCCTCCCCCACCCCATCCTCGCTTGTCCACCCAACCCACACTCCAGGTAACGCCAATCATGTATCTACGTGAACTCTTGAGATAACAAGTGATTTTGAGTAAGGATAGAAACCCTGCATCAGGTCAAAGAAAAAATCTGACTCTATGTTTTATGGGTAGAGCACAAGTGTTCAGGTCCCATAGAAGTGAGACTCAACTCTACAATGGGGACAGCAGAACAGTGGGTACTTGCCTGGTGACAGGGAATCGTGGCGCATCATTAACACACAAACGACGAATCCATACCGCATGCCTGGCATTGCATGCTTCTTCACATACGCCATAATTCACCCAAACAATGCATTATTTATTATCGATGTAGGGAAATAGTTTTTTCTTATATTTTGGTCTCAAGAAAATAAAGCCAAAATAAATACCGGAAGCTTTTGTATTTCCTTCAATGTTGAAGCGGTGAGAAATGTACTTACAAATCAATGACGTCATTTTTTTTTTTTTACTGTGACCAATGAAATGATTAGATCTTGTCAGTGTGTGTGTGTGTATGTCACTAGTAATTTTTAACCTTAATGATATCGAATACAAAATACAACCTTTCGTCACCAAATGTTAATGAGTTTACCAAAAAATTTAACAAATATTATTTCAAATTTACTACAAAATATTGGAACCTACCTTGATGTGATCGATGGGCTTACTGGAACCTACCTTTATCTGATGGATGGGTTTACTTGGAACCTTTCTTGATCTGATGGATGGGCTTACTGGAACCTACCTTGTTTTTATAGTATAATGCGTGAAAAGGAGAAAGTTGATCAAGTAGCAGCACAGATTATAAAAATTTAAAATAAGCATTCTAGGGGTTAGTGAGACAAGATGGCAGCAGAGATCAGAAAGTACTATACAAGTATTCCAGGATATCGAATATATACCTCAGACTAAGAATCTTGCTAATGATATAAATTAGTTTATACTACATTATTGCGACTTATCTAGGTTGAATTTCCTTTTAAATCTCAACATTTCACTATTTCAAAGAGTTTAATATAATAAAGGATTTAACGAAACAAAAGGGGGCGTGAATATTGTTAAAAGGGCAGGAACTGCCCTAAATGTAAAAAAAACAAAAATATTTTTTTGGTATCCTCCCTTAGACAAAAAAAATTAAAATAAAAAAACCTTTTTAAAAATATACTTTAAAAAAAATCGAAGTAGCTATACGGACCCGGGTCCGAAAAGTTAGAGGTTGGGATTAACATTTTTAAAAAAAATATTGTTGTTAGGATGTAACACAAAATTTCGTGTCCAATGAAAGATAATTGAATGGACTATATGTTTGTAAACTTAATTCTTCACTTTAACTCAAATAAACTACCACAAATGACATCCAAATAACGTTGAGTCTAAACGGATCCGGGTCCGAATAGCGGCGATGCGTTACCGGTTCCATTTGTTGGGGTATACCACTGACCGTAACACGCGCAGTTTGTTGTTGTGTTTTGTTTTTCTTTTTTTTTTAAGCTTTATGTTTTATTTGTGTTTTATATTGTTGAGTGGGTTTAGGGTAGGGGTTGGGGTTACGGGCGGGTGGGGAGGGAGGGATTTGTGGAGGAGGGGTCAGTGGAAGAGGAGGGGGAGGGGTTGGCGGAGTGGGGTGGTGGGGGGCAGCACTCGGGAGATAAAGGATTACAGCGTGCGCTTGAAGAATAATTTATTTTTTTTAAAAATTGATATGACAATAAAATTATAGAGCTTTATTGGGTAATCTGTGAATCATTTTCTTGCATGACAAAAAGCTTACGAAATGAAAGGCTGTCTTTAGTTCAAGACGAAAACCTTCACTTTTACCAACGAAATATTCACATATTTTAACACCAGAATGGGTGTCGTATACAAAACCAATTCACTTGCACGTATCCACACAGGTTATCCATATACCCTGGCATCCGTCCGTCACAATGTGACGATGGAGTAAAATTCGCGGAACGAAATCCAACCCCTTAGGAGTATAAGCTGGTTCCCAGAATAGCAAAATCGCCTCTCTCCACGTCGCTGCCTAACCCAAAGGGAGCATCATGTGGATGATACAGCTTGGCACCAGGGGGGGGGCGTCGCAGGAGTTGTGGTGTCAATCATTCAATGTTATCCAACCAACGGGACTGCAATCACGGGGGTTTGAATTCAGAGTTTTTCCTTCTCTTAGATGAGTTGCCATCCAAGGTTTCACGAGTGCCATCCACCCAGGGCCGGTGTCAGAGTATTTGGCACCCTAGGCGAACCTGTCGCACTGCGCCCCCACGCCCACGGCAAATTTGCCGCCCTAGGCGGCCGCCTAGTTCACCCAATGGTTAAACCGGGCCTGCATCCAGCCATATAATACATCTAGATTAATCTCAGACGGGAGTTCCGATTGACAAGAACGCCAGACCGATCACAACATGGGTGTGCGTGTGTGTGTGTATGTGTGTGTATGTGTGTTTGTGTGTGTGTGTGTGTTTTTGTGTGTGTGTGCGTGTGTGTGTGTGTGTGCGTTAAAGTGGTCGTTGTAGCGTAGCAACTCGTTCGTTGAACACCTCTACTTCCTCCGTTAGCAAAATGGTGTGCGTTACGACCACGAGTTGTCGGTGCCGGTGTCGGCCTAATCATGTTTGCTGAGATGCGCCCGTTCAGCGATGGCAACAGAAACGATGGTGTTTTAGTCTGTTCTTCATAGTTGTTTAGTTTTCTCTTCATAGTTGTTTAGTCTGTTCTTCATAGTTGTTTAGTATTTTCTTCATAGTTGTTTAGTTTGTTCTTCAAAGTTGTTTAGTCTGTTCTTCAAAGTTGTTTAGTCTGTTCTTCATAGTTGTTTAGTCTGCTCTTCATAGTTGTTTAGTCTGTTCTTCATAGTTGTTTAGTCTGCTCTTCATAGTTGTTTAGTTTGTTCTTCGTAGTTGTTTAGTCTGTTCTTCATAGGTATTTAGTTTGTTTGTTTGTTGCTGGTAAGGGGGGGGGGTTGGGAGATAACAACGTCCAGACGGTGGCTTCCGTTACTTCGCTCCCTGTCACGTGTTAATCAGTGCTAACACGTCACGCGTGAGCTCTGAGTGATTTACTGAGATAACTCTTGTCGTGGCGGAATGACTTCTACCGGAGTTGTCGAACTTATGCCCCACGCTGATTTTACTGCATCTAACGGTCGTCTGATCAATGCCCCCCCCCCTTTCCCCATCCCACCGCTCCACCCCCCCCCCTCCTTTTTTTGGTACTCTCACTCAATCCCTGGGAATAAACGGTTTTCGAAATGACGGGATATGACATTTATGACATGCGAATAATTTAGATAAGATTTCACGTTTGACATTTACGATGTCCGCTGATATCTATCTGTGTGTATCCTCGTGATTTCTTTTCGACTCGACATTCTCTTGGCCAGGAAGGCGCTGTCCATTGAGAGACCTTTTCGAATCGACATTCCCTTGGCCAGGAAGGCGCTGTCCTTTGAGAGACCTTTTCAAATGCGATATTCAATATCTTTAATGTGGTCTAATTAGCCTAAGCAAGGTATGGCCCTAAAGAAAAAAAAAAAAGACTCTTCTTTAGATAAATAAGTTAGGACAGGTTGACGAAGAATAAATACAAAACTTAAAAAGGATATTTCCTTACCAAAACATGAAATTCCTGCCCTTTGACGAATCCAGTTTATCCAGGCCCTAATGAAACCAAACTTTTTAATGCATTCTCACCGCCTCTCACCCGTCAGTCCTGTATGTAAAATTATTGATGTTTTCTAATACATTTTATAGTTCCACCCTTTTTCACAA